GAGATTTTTTTTTTTTAAGAAAAAAATCATAAAAAATTAATCATAGATAATTTGGATAAGATTTTATTTTTGAAAATTTTGTTATTTGAATTTAAATCATATATAATAGGTATTGTCCATGGTCAAAAAAGAAAATGTTCACATGGTAAATCTTATCAAGTATCTTTGTATGTTGTAATATATGCATATATATATATATATTTATATGATTGAGGTTAATCATGAAAGAAGTTTGGGAAGGCACATGCATTTCTTTGAGGAAAGGGAGCCTGTCCAATTCTGGTGGGAGACTACCTGTCAGATTTTGTCCCTTGAGCCGTCTGTTTCAATAGAAACCAAACCAAGGTTAGCTACCTGAAGTTAACTTCAATTCAACATTTTGTGGTGCAAAAATATGATGTGGCACAAATGATGGGGTGAAATGATGATGGTATTCATGCTTCATTCATATACATGTTCAACTATATATGTATAATTCATGAGCAGGTATGTGATCAGAACGAAAAATATTGAATAACCTTAAAAACAAACGAATATATTATAAACATAACAAAGTTTGTCTATTATTGATTCTTTTACGTTTCTAATAATTAAAAAATGAAATCATTCAAAATATGTATAATCTGTTAGTGGATATGTGATCAGCATGAATTATAATAAAGTGGGTTGAAAATTTTCAATTGAAGAGAGAGATGCTTACATGTTAATGACATGGCAAATAGTGTTATTGGAGAAGGAGCAATCACAGGTACCATTATCATCGTAAACGTTGGAGTATTCTATCATAAACAAACTATGTTCTCGACTGCATGGATCAACATCAAAGTTCCAATCTCTCTTCCCTAGCGTCTTGCTTATACTTTTCAAAGCTTCCACTATACATATAATTTAAACACAGTTATAAATAACAAAACAAAAAAAAGATTTCAAATGGATGAAAACAAAAATAATGAAGCCAAGTTGTGTCTTGATAATTATGTACCTTCATAATTTGGAAGAGTAGCTGCTCCAAATGCAAAAGTTGTGATGCAACAGGCAATGAACATTGAAGCAAAAACAAGTCGAGGAAACAACATCTTGGACTGTCGTACGATGAAGAGGAATTCACTAGCTCCTTGCTTGATTATAGAAAAAAAGGGACAAGGCAAAGAAGAAGAAACTGGATTATATATAGGCAATAAACACTTTTTAAGTCTAGTGAAGTCAATGCTATTATTATTATTTTTTGGATGTTTATATGACTTTTAAACGAAACTTATAGTCCCCATTTATGATCATAGTGGCAAGTTGTATAAAAATCCTGCATGTGATTTAATGACATAAGGTCCCATATAGATAACGATGGAAACAGAATGATATAGTCCCTTCATTTGTTTTGTACGTACAGTTGTTAATGAAATGTAAAAACTTATAAAACATTAATTTGTTTTATTTTTTACATATATTTTTAAATTAAAATAAAATAAAATTTAATTCCTTAATATGAAATATATTTACTTCGAGTCGGATCAAGACTTGAAAAGTCATGTCCAAAATAATGGAATAACAATGTTACAATATTGACATATGTATTTCTTTAATTTCTTTTAACATGTTATAAATGGATATGTGATAACTTGAAAAAAAATATATGTGACAATATCTAAATCATATTAATGAAATTTACAAATTTTACAAAACTTTTTTTTTTTGTACAAAACAATGGAATAAATATCTTCCTTTCCAAAATTGTAATGGAGAGGAAGATGGAACATTATTGGACTTGGTCTGGATCAATTTTATTCGACATACCCGTATAGGAAAAAAATTCTTTAAATTAACTATTTAAAAAAAAAAACTTAACTAATTAATACATTATAAAAAATTACCAAAATTATATCAATGATTATTAAAATTATATAATAAATTACTATACTTATATTGAATGTTACCAAAATTATATTGAAGATTACCAAAATTTTATTAAAAATTATTAGCATCTAAATTATATAAAAAGTTATCAAGTTTTACTTATATTATATTAAAATCAAAATTAAATTATTAGTATTTATTATTATTATTATTGTTATTATATCAAAAAAGTTATTTATTATAAAATGAATTTTAAAAATAAAATTTCTGAATGTGTCACGCACGTGACAAAAACTAATTATATATATAAATATTTAAGAATTAAAATTATCTTGTTAGTTTTTCATTGAGAAAAACAACAAAAAATTTAGATATAGACATTTTTGTAACTAAAAGGTTACATATTTTGATGGATGAAAAGGAAGAACAACCAAATTAATTGCAATATTAGACAAATTAGAGAGAAAAAAAAAACGGTTAAGTTTATACCGAAAACATTTGATTCAACAATTGATACATGACTCTAATGTGTTCTTTTTTTTTAAGTAATGTTCGAATCCCTCAATCACCCAAACTGCCAAAGAAGAAATACACGAATTGTAAGCGCGACATATACTATCAAAAAATTGAGGTTTATCAATGGAATTTTTTGTTATTAAAAACTGAAATTTCGTCGATAATAGCAGTAGTGACGAATTTAGCGATGAAAAAATTTCTTCGGTGGTAACTACGTCACTAATACTATTCCGTTAGTAAAAGCTGAAATTTGTCTATAATTATCGATGAAAAACTTGTCATTAAATTTCATTGATAATTACTAATGGAGTTATTATCAACGGTTTTACTTATTGAATTTTTTGTTGATAGATCCATTGATAATAAGCATGCAAATTATCACAAAAAGGTTTTTTTTCATCAGTAATCCATCGATAATCCATTGGTAATAATCAAAATTATGTTGATAATAATGAAATTCCATCTATAAAAGTATAGTTTCATCAATAATTTAAATAAAAATATTTATAATTATTCAAAAAATCTGTAATTATTTAAGAAACTTGTATATTACAATTTAAACATGTATAATTATTTAAATATTTTATTATTAATTAAAATATCAAATCCTGATAACATCCATCAAAATACATCATAAAACATTCATAAAATCCATAAAACATCATAAAAATATCCATCTATAAAACATCCATAACATCCATCCATCAAATACTTTATACAAATCTAAATATATATATATATATATATATATCACTGTGCTGCTATTGCACCTCCTAATCAAGATTTTTCATTATTGCATCAGGTTTAGAAAATTGTGATGACGAAGTTTATCTAGACTCCATCAATTGCCTTAAGTTTTTGATTTTTTAAAATCAATTAAAATTAACTTAAATTAGTTTATTTTTATAATTATATGTATAATATTATTTTAATTAAATTAAAAATTAAAATGAGTAAAAAATTTATTTATACTCAATTTGAGTTTTAAATTGTTTCAAAGTTTGATTTAATTATTGTATGTTATTTTAGTTATACTTTTATGATACCGATAATAAATTTTAAAATAGAATGAGAATATAATACAATGAAAATTTAAATGCAAAAGTAATCCAGATACTAATAATAATTCTAGAAAAAAATCTTTATATCCAAACCTTGCAAAGATCAAAAGATATATATTTTTGTGAGAATTTTGAAATTTAAATTGTAAAAATATTAATATGGATCAACGGGTTTATAATCATTTATTTGTTAATCAAATTACTACTAGATTGAAAGAAATAATTTTAACATTTAATTTAAAAAAAAAGATATCATAATTCATATTTGTTTAAAAAGAAGTATACCTTTGGAAAAATTTAAGTCTTCCCTTGCTTTTGGAAAGTTAGTCAACTAATTAAGCCCAAGCCCTCCTTTGGAAAATGTTAAATCTTCCCTGGTTTGAAAAGTCAGTGAATTACTTAAGCCCAAGCCCTCCTTTGGAAAATTTTAAGTCTTCTCTGGGTTGAAAAGTCAGTCAACTAATTAAGCCCAAGCCATCCTTTGAAAAAATTTAAGTCTTCCCTGGGTTGAAAAGTCAGTCAACTAATTAAGCCCAAGCCCTCCTTTGAAAAAATTTAAGTCTTCCCTGCTTTTGAAAAGTTAGTCAACTAAACAAGCCCAAGCCCTCCTTTGGAAAATGTTAAATCTTCCCTGGTTTGAAAAGTCAGTGAACTAATCAAGCCCAAGCCTTTGGAAAATTTTAAGTCTAAAAGTCAGTCAACTAATTAAATCCAAACCACAAAAACACTTCAACAGCAGCCAATCATAGCTGGTGATTGATTTTCCATAGGAAAAAAGAAAGAAAAGAAATTTGTCAACATTTAGTTTAATTGATGAATACTTTTTATTTTAAATTTTAAAATTTAAGTCTTGTTTTTCTTAAATTAAAAAAATAAATAAAAAAAGAAGACCTAGGATTATCTTATCTTTAGGAAAGAGCAATAATTATTTCTGTGGCTGCAAATCAAAGAAAGTCTTCCTTTGAAAATTCATTCAACGAGTCCACAGCCAAAAAAGTGGAAAAACACTATAATAAATTTGCATTTATTATTTTCCTCAACAATTCTGTTGTTCAAAATCGCTTTTTCCAAACTTTTTCAAATTTGGCTGCTCTATATGTAAATATCCATTTTGTACTAGATCATTTGAAGATGATTTAATCTAAATCGTGATTAATTCAATTCCTTTCATGCAATTTTAGTTTGAGTTTGTTATTTGATTTAGGTTTGAAGTTAAATTAGGTTTTTGGGTTTGTATTCAAATTTTATTAAGTCAAATTTAGAATATGATTTTAAAATACAGAATTAATTTGTTAATTGGATCTTGGAATTTGAGTATGGGTATATGTATATGAGATATTGATGTCCTCTGATGAATGAATCAACTGAACTAAAATTTGATTCAAGAAGATAACAATGGTTTTACAATTGCACTAGATATAACAACGGTTAATTACAATGAAAGAAAAGAAAAATTGGTCGTTAGTGAATGGAGATTATCAATACCAGCAATGTGGAATCACTAGCCCTTGGCCCAAAACAGCTATAGAATTTTTAGCGTATTACTTCAAAAAAAGTCATAAGACTTTTCTTTATAGGTTGAGACCTTGTTACAAAATGAAACCCCTGTGGAAGAAAAGAATTTTTGGTGTTTTATTTGGAGGATATTCCCCAGTGTTAACAAATGTTCCAAGACTTCTCTTTTTCTTTGTCCCAATTGGCAGAAAACTACTATAGAATTCTTTAACATATTGCATCAAGAAGTTAAACCAAAAAAGAAAAAAAGAAAAGAATGCATGGTATGCCAAAATTAACAACCATAATCCCCAGAACTGGTCGAGACCAGCTGCTAACTATGTGCTATAGCTTATAGCAATCCTCATCCTATTCATACTATTGCTGTCTTATCTCACTACCCTTTCTGAATTTGAAACATAACCAAGAACAAATTATCATTTATCATCACACTAAACAATTTTTACAAATGGACCTTCAAAGTATTCACATCACACAAGAAAAATATTTGTAGTACCATTCCTAGTTATGAAGTATTCTGACTGCTAATCATGACAATTTTCTTAATTTGTGGAATCTCTATTCTGCCAATAACCAGAAGTGAAATTGACTGGATAGAGATCAGAAGCAGACGTAGAAGAAATAGCCCATGGCCCATCTCCTAACATACTCTTTGTCTGGCCGTTTTCTTCATCGTTTTCTTCGATTTGCTGATAAAACTTCTTCATTGCCTCCGGATTCAATTCTTTAGTAGAAACACTTGAATCTGTAATCAACTCTCCGACAGCAGCCCTGCCTTCAAGCACGCTTACCACAGAAGACATAGAAGGCCTAGCTGCTGCAGTAGGATTAGTGCATAGAAGAGCCACATCGATCATCACCATCACCTCTTCTATGTTGAAATCCGAGCCTATCCTTGGATCGACTAAATCCAACAAGCTCCCTTTCTCCTTCAGAATATGAGCCTATAAACACAAATTAAACTGACAAATGCTTGAGCTCCATTTACCATGATATAGGAATGAAACATCAATATATCTAGTGAACTGCAACCTCAGAAGAGTAAGCATTCCCTCATTTAAGGACTATGCAGCACAGTATGTTCAGGAACTCAATCCTTTTGTTCTACTAGCATATCAACATGGATAAGCAAGCAATGAAAGAATGAGAGCTTAGTTACCCAATCAAGGAGATAGAAAGATTCTTCTTTCCACCGGTCTTTAGTGTTGCACCTGCCACTAACAATTTCAAGAGCCACGATCCCAAAACTATATACATCTGCTTTGTCACTTAAATGACCATGCATTGCATATTCAGGGGCCATATAGCCACTGCGAAGTTAAAGAAGACTAATTAAATACAGCATTTTTTTTTTGGTTGTCAGGAGTCAGGGTGAAACTGAAAATTCTCTCTTAACTCTGCTTCAATATTGTATACATCTCCTGGGAAATTTTTTATCATTCAACCATTGAAATTTGAGGAAAAAAAAAAGGCATACAAAAGAAGAAAAGAAACAGATTGACAATCAATCTGGATAGACTTACTAAGTTCCAGCAATTCGGGTGCTGATGTGGGTATTATCCTCTTCATCAAGCTTGGCCAAACCAAAATCAGATATTTTGGGGTTTAGATTCTTATCGAGCAACACATTGGTAGCCTTAATGTCCCTATGGACAACCTTCAACCTTGATTCTTCATGGAGATAAGCTAAACCTCTTGCTATGCCAATGCAGATATTCCGTCTTGTTGGCCAGTCTAATTTCAATTGAAATTCTTCTGGGCCTTTTGATAACCAAATAAACAGAAGCTCAGACAAACTAGCATTCTTCACTTGATATTTTATTAAGGACAAGCATTCACTTGTGTTTGGGTGTGTGTATGTGTCGCACGCCATGCCTAGGAAGTTAAAGTAAACCATATAGACGAGATCTACCAAACAATGCACGTGCAAGGCTGTTGTTTTCCAGGTACTCATATATAAGCAGCAATTGATTTCCTTCGATGCAACATCCATACAACTTTACTAGATGAGGATGTTGTAGAGCTGAAATCATGCCAATTTCTGTCACAAACTCACGGTTTCCTTGCCTTGATTTAGCAGATAGTTGCTTAACAGCGATTTCTATGCCATCTGCCAGAATGCCCTGCATTTGAAAAGCATATTACCTGGTTCAATTAATAACAAAAGTACCTGGGGAAGTGCTGCGGTAAGGATGGTCAGAGTGCAAGTAATCAGAGGAACGAGTGTGTTGCACATGATACCTTGTAAACAGGACCAAAACCACCTTCACCAATCTTATTAGTAGCATCAAAGTTGTTTGTGGCAGCTTTAATTTGCCTCAAGGTAAAGGAACTGGTCTGCAACTCTATACCTTTAAGATCTGCAGAAGAAGCTAAGCTAAATGAGAAGCATTTATGATTAGCATCTAAATATCTTCATTTCTTGTTGTCTAGAGACAGGCCTCAATGGTAATGGATACTGACTATGTACCCTATTATTTTCCATATCGATACCTATTGTCCACAAATTTATGAAATTCGAATGTAGCAGAATGTATTGACTTCTTTATAAATACCTCGTTCCAATGTACTCTTCTGTCTTAAACAGCCATTCCACCACAGAATACCCATAATCAGGAAGGTAGCAAATGTTGCTCCAGCCACAATTCCAACCACCACGCTTGCAGAGATACCACCACCGTTTCCACTTGGAGGTTTATAATCTGGTCGAAGAAAATTATATAAAATTTAGTTACTAAGATTAGATGACATTGTTGGTTGAATATGTATGTTTCAGCATAAGTGACAGCCATTAACATGCGGGGTTTCGAACACCTACGAGGATCAAAAATTGATATTGCTGATATAAGAGGACCGTAAACTCCTCTCCGGGGAATAGAAGTAGAGCCTTTTCCAGCCCATTGCAAACGGATATTTACAGTGCCATCAGTCACAAATGCCGTAAAGTTTTTTAAAATTGGTTTGCCAACCCCACCCGCTTCATCCTTAATGTTGAAATCATTCAGCTCCCGCTTTCCCTGCAATTATCTACTCCATTTAACTGAACTTTCCATCTGGGAACATGTTCGAAAGGTTACTTTATTCGAAAGGACTATTGTGATTTTGTAAACATCATAATCATAATGGGAATGCTGCAAGTTGCTCTAACATCAGAACTTGGTAAGAAGAAGTAAATTAAAGTACCTGAATGTAAACATCAAACATCCGCCTCCCTAAACTGCTAAATGACTTATCATCAGTGAACTGTATCTCCGCAAAATGGAGGCTCACATTGTATGTTCCATTCTTCAGACAGAATGCATAGTAAGTCAAAGAGTTAGGTGAAAGGCGTGCAGTTGTGTATAGTTGACGATCATTCTTAGAAAGTTGTGTAATGTTCGGAAGGTCGATAACTAAGTCGTCTTTTGAATCATCATCCAAGAAAACACCAGTGCTGCTAATTGCCCAATAATTTGCATCACTTTGGACAAATGTAGAAGGCCCAGCTATATTAGTATCAGCTTCATAAGCGTTACCATTAACTTCTACTGCTTTCCCTCCGCAGTTTATATAAAGAAAGTGCAAAGCTGAGGTACAAGGAACAGCAGTTCAATAACTATTGGAGGAAAACACACCGAGTGAAATGGTCACATAGAAAGAAGAAAAATGGACAGTAATTTTCAATCTCAAAAGAGTCAAGTACTTGGCATAGCAACATAGGTTAGAACAATTGCAGAAGATCAGTGATTTTTAAAAGAAAAAGAGAGAATGTTCTAAAGTATGCAGTATATATAAGCTGATGCATTATGGAGAAAATATGAGAAGTACATAATATTGTTTAGAAGTTCTGTGGGATATTAAAATACGAAAAGCAGTACCAAGCTATTATGATTATGAGAGCTTATGGTTAAGAAGTATATGAAGTTTCGACATACGTTCTGCTGGACATTGAGGGCTTTCCGAACATGAAACAGTTCCTCTGGTAAAAAAAAATATATATACGAGTCCCAGAAAATGGTCAAGCATTATACCAGCAAAATGGTAGTCACTCGAAAGATAATGAAAGTGTAATGATTGTGTTCGAAAACTTACGAGTTATTGATCCTTGACGTGCTTGCAAACAAATTCCTACAGACAATGACATAATATAAAAACCATAGCTATTATATATCAAAGATCCACTCACAAACAAAAACAGAGAAACACACAAAAAAAAAAAAATACAAACTTAGATGATGACATTCTTACAAGCGCTTCTGTTGACAGTTTTGTACTCTTCTTGTGAAGTTGTTATATGAAAGATCCCTACACATAGAATGGTTCAGTAATATTACATTTTTTTATTCAATTGCAATTGCAATTGTAGAATAAGCTGATATCTCTTTCCCCTGACGCAGTCAAATTTGTTTTGAGGCGATAGCGACAGGTAACCAGGATTATAAAAATTAAACTTTATGCTATAGCATTTATTTTTACAAGTTTTAGCTTGTAAATTGAAGTATCAAATTTTTGTTTGGTTAATTGAAAAAGAGTTGTGATCAAGCTCCTTTAGCATATAATGTCATTGAACATTTGTAAGAGAATCTTACATATCTGCGTTTGTTTCCGGTATCCATTGAGGTATTGGTCCAGTAAACATGTTTCCAGTTAAAAACCTGACAAAAGAAATCATGAAGTTACTGCAATTAGATATAAATTTAATAGCTTATCAGGAAGATTTATCAGTTGTGATGAAAAATCTGAAGATAATGAAAGAAGTAGAGTCATCCATCCTCTGACAGAGAAGATCAATATAGCATGACAGACATGTTCTTAGATTGATGAAAGCTTTGTTGATAATTAGATAACCATATTCATTGAATCAGCTTAAACTTTGTCCAACATAAAAAATGGTGGTTGCTCTTTGGTAAAGAAAACTTAAGGTTCACCTACGGCCTTTAGGGATGGAAGAACTCCTGCAGGCTCGGGATCTAACCCTAGCCATTGCAAAATCAAGGGTATATCCCCTTGAGTCCACTGTACCAAAAAAAAAAAGAAGGAAAGGAATGTTTACACCAAAAGACATGTCCTTACAATTGATCCAAATCTTTAAGGGAAGAAAGTGTGTCTGGAATTCCTCCTCTGAGTCTGTTAAAGCTGACATCTCTGCAAGAAAATTTTCTCAATTACTTGAATAATCAAGGTAGAGAAAAAAAAAAGGAAAATAAAAGCATAACAAAAATGCATAAAAATTCACAACTGCGTAGGGGAAAAAGTAAAAGGGAACTGCTAAAAAACATGATAACATCCTACGACAAGTTAAAATTTAAAACTATATGAACTTTTTGATGCCCTTTCAAATGCACACGCAAATATGCTTGCAGGAAATTGCAGGCTACTGCTCTGATCTTGATCTTTCAGGAAAAACTATGGCAGCAAAAGAATTAAATTTAAGCCATGAGCAAATAACTTTTTCAATACGCTACTAGCAGCATTGATTATGTTGCATATAGGTAGTCAAAATGATTTGTTCAAATATGATCCTTACACATTTCACATGTCATCACAACATAAAATTTTCCAATAAAAGAACATCACTATCTTGAAATTGAAAGAGTTTTCTTGTATTAAGGAGAAACAACAAGTCTATACTCACAAGATCTTTACTGTTGTCAATTCCCCAAGAGAATCAGGCAGCGGTCCGGTGAGATTGCAACTCCTCAATATCCTGTAATACAATCAAAAGAATCTACCATTTAAGTTTCCAAAAAGAAAAATCACAGAACTTGAATTAGTCTGCACTTTACAGGTGGAGTTTTACTCACAGTCTTTTCAATTTAGGCAAATTACTAAGTCGCGGAAAAGATGCTTCAGCTCCATTCAAGTCACTAATTCTCCTGTAAAAAGAATTTCAACAAATCATAAACATTAGGATACAACCACAATATCCCTGAGTCATATGCTGAAATCTATGAAATTTAAAAGATCCATGCTTACAAGTCAGTTAAATTTTGCAAAGCAACAATGGCTGGAATTGGCCCACTCAAACCACTAGCCTGAATGTATCTATCATTACAAAAGTTGGGTTTGTTAAATGATTGAAAAAGCACAATTCATATTTCTAATGACGAAATCAACATTACCCATCAAAATGTGTCACAAATATTAATTAATGCTCTCACAGTTTCTCAAGTTTCGTCCAATTCTGGAAGATGAAGTAGGGAATGTTTCCTGTGAAGTTGTTGCCATCAATCCGACTGTTGAGAAAACAAAATGATCACAACTAACACAATATATAATAATCGATCTGACATATAAAACTATAAAAGAATATTTTGATATTTAACATAAGAAGAACATTATAATGTTACAATTCCGTTAATGTAGTGAGCCTAGCAAATGTTTCAGGCAATTCTCCACTAAAATTGTTCGAACTAAGATGCCTGCAACACAAGCAACAACAATGCGTCATGAACCAATAAATAAAAGAGAAAATCAAGAGGAATATTATATTATATTATATCTATAATGCCCTAATAGGAATTTTGAGATTTAAGTTGTTTTATAAACTTTATTTATGTATATATCATCTCTCCCTTTTGCTTTAATTTTTCCTTAGTTTTGTCTTAAAATATAAGACATATATAAAATCATAGTCATGCTAATTTTTTTCCTCTAAAAATGAAAGCAGGGGAAAGCTATATATGAATTTGAACCTAGCTAGGTTATAATTTAAATAGTTCATTTACATTTTTAAGGAAGTATTTCGACTACAATACTATAATTATCCAATTACAATCAAGAATTATGTGAGGTCCACCATTTATAAAAGTGGATTTCAGATAATATTTTGATAAACCCAACCTAACTCTACAATTTAATTAGGTAATTGTAATATAATTATTATAAGTGATATGTTCTTTTTTTCTTCTTGTGAATTCTCATAAAGATGAAAGTTTTGATCTTTAACACTTGTATATCACAATGTAAGACGCAAGAGAAGATGTCACAAAGTAGTCCAAAATCTCATGCTACCACATACAAATACGATTGCATGAAACCTTTTTATGTTTATTAGGTAAGCGTTTTAAGTGTTCGGGCTTTCTCCAATCAATTTGAAGCATCTTTTTTCGAAATCGTTTCTGACAGCCGATGCTTCGGCTTTTCAAACGTTTGTCCTTCCTCCCACGCTTGAGATTAGATTACGTTAATTAATTACATGAAAATGATAAGATATTTGATTGTTGTCACTCCTTATGTACTAAAAATTAACCTCATTATTTGTTGTTGTTGTTTTCTTCTTCTTCTTCTTCTTTTTTTTTTTTTTTGGAAAGGAAATTTCTAACTAGAAAATTGTTTTAATTTTAAAAAGACAAACGTTGATGAATTAAGATTAATTCAAACATTGCTCAAAACATGTAATCATGCAACAGAAAAGAAAACCAACATTTTCTTTTGTTACTAACATTTTTATCTATGGCAAAACAAATGATGGAACCAAAAAAGCTTTTTCTTTTGCCTCTTATTGTGAAGATTTGCATTCAACTTATAAAGTATTATTTACTTTAATTCAAAAATTTAATGATTTTATCTCATAAAAAATACCTTACAAGTTTGAGTTTAAGTTTTTATTTATATATTATAGCAAATTATCAAAATCTTTCGATGTAAGATTGGAGTATCACAAACTCTTTCATTAGAGCTTGACGTTCCAATAAAGCTCAACACAAAATACATAGATCCATCGAATTACACCAAACATTGAGCAAGCCTAATACAAAATACACATAAATCATAGATTCACATTAAACATTAAAATTCTAAGCTTAACGTTCTCATCAAGCTCAACACAAAGCATACAAATCTACCGAATCACACTAAACATTTGGTAAGTCCAACACAAAAACACAAATATCATAGAATCACATTAGATATTAGGTTTTTAGAGGTGGCTCCCTATCGTGTAATACTTAACTCTCACAAGTTTTCTAAATGTGACTAGAAGTAACTCCTACGAGGTAAGCTTTAGTTTTTGTTTGACTAATAATTTCTTTGATACCATTTATAGAAACACACATTTAATTTAAGAAATATTGTTCGTTTTAATTAAAAAATCTTACAATTTATCTTACAACAAATTTAAATTTAACTCTTTACTTATATATCATAACAAATACTCAAAATTTTTTGACTATGAGATTGGAATGTTATACTTATATTCTTAAAGCTCGTTATTCCTATACTCCATCCATTATGCAATTAATGTCTTGTACTGTGGATACTCTCTCTCAAATTATTACCATTCATAACTATTTTTATTGATGTATAATTCCCAAAAACCATCATCAACATTACTAGCTAGCTAGTTGCTTTGCAATTGCAATACCTTAGTCAGGGCTGCTACTTTAATTAGCACTGCTTCTAAATTTCGCAACTTGTTTCATGTTGCATAGGATTCATGTAAGTACCTAAAACCTAGTTCATAAAACATGGTTCCAAACTTGAAGTTTGGTTTTGTGATTGTTATATAATTATATGATGTTTGCGTGGTTGAGACGATACGATTTTTTTTCCTCAACAAATATATAAAATAGCATTTGATCATTAATATTTTCATTAAAATTAGAGTCTTGGATTAATTATACTTGATTTGAAAAATATCACTTAACAAGTTGGAAGCCAAACCCTACTCAAATCTAATTTGATTTTAAAAGTATCAACACTTTGATATATCAACTTAATCTTAATACCAATAGACTCAAATGAAAATTAACTTAAATAAATGACTCGAAAACATAAATTATTGTTGTTTATATTATATCTACCAATAGAGATTTAACCCATATTTGTAAAACATTTGTTGTAGATAAAACCACATTTGAAAAAATATCTCCTATGTTGGTTGACTACCAAGCATGACAAGCAATTGTAGATGTTCGTACAAGAAAGGACCCTGTCGTTTATTAAAAAAATACTAACAATAATGAGTGAAATTATGCAAGAATTTTAAAAGGAAGAGTCTCACATTCTTTCAATGTTTGTTAGATTCCCAAGCTCTGGAGGCAAAGTTCCCGAAAGACGATTTTCCTCGAGGACTCTACAAATTTATCATAAATAGAATTAATTCACTAGCGATATCAGAACACATATCGATATAATTCTGATAAATTTGTCATAATGAAATGAGAAATACTATAAAAATCACTAGAAAACAACTCACAAGCTGGTCAGAGTGCTTATATTTGCCAACTCTTTTGGGATTAAACCTGTTAAACGATTTCCAAGAAGGCTACTGCAATAATACTCATGTTAATTCATCCAAGATCCATATATATACTCCATGGATATTGCATATGAAGGATTCTACAATTAAAAAGTATTTTAAAAATCTACTATGCACACTAAGTATTATAGTGACCCATGTTTCGATGCTCTGTTCTTAAACTATTGCTTCAATTATTATTATTATTATTATTATTATTATTATTATTATTATTATTATTATTTTAGTACACATCTTCGCAAATATATTCAATGGATATGAATATGCAAGTTTGATCCTCCACACATTTATATAGACCCTATTTTTTATTTAATAGAATTCCTTTAACTTTCATTATACATGATGCTGTGCCTGCACATATGTAATAGAAAGCATACATGTTGATCAGTTGCATAGAACCCCATTGTGAAGGAATTTCGCCACTAAGGTAATTGCGAGTGAGATCACTGTAAGAAAAGGGTTAAAGTTAGATTAGTGATGATAAGGAAAGTAAATTTACTATTATATATAGTTAATTGAGGTTAATCATGAAAGAAGTTTGGAAAGGCACATACATTTCTTTGAGGAAAGGGAGCCTGACCAATTCTGCAGGGAGAATACCTGACAGATTTTGTGACTTGAGCAGTCTGTTTCAATAGAAACAAAACCAAGGTTAGCTACCTGAAGTTACTTCAATTCAACATTTAGTGGTGGAAAAATATGATGTGGCACAAAATGATAGGGTGAAAAAATAGTGGTATTTATGCTTCATTCATGTACATGTTCAACGTATATGTATTATGGTGACCTCACAAATTTGGATTTAAATTTCTAAACAGATTCATCAAATCACATCACATAGATGCATTGAATCACAACAAACGTTAGGCAAGGTCAACATAAAGCACACACAGATCACAAGATTACACCAGATATTGGAGACATCATAGATTTGGGTTTAGATCTCTACACAGATCCATCGAATCATATCAAATGTTGGACAAGCCCAACACAAAGTACACACAAATCATGGGATTATACCAGATGTTGAAATTCTAGAGGTGGCTCTCATCATGTAGCACTTAATTCCCGCAAATATTTTAGTGATCACTTTAATACCATTTGTATAAACCCGCATCCAATCGAAGAAATATTATCTACTTTAACCTAAAAATTTTATTGTTTTATCTCACAAAAAACGTCTAACAGATTTAGATTTAAGCTTCTATATATATATCATAATATATTCTCAAAACATCCCGATGTGAGATTAGAACGTTACATATATAATCCGTGAACGGATTGTGATCAGTACAAAAAATACTGAACAATCTTAAAAATAAATCTACCATATTACTAATTTAACAAAATTTTTTCATGTTTGATTTGTTTAAATCTCTAATAATTAAAAAATGAAATCATTCAAAATATGTATAATCTGTTAGTGGATATGCGATCAGTATGAATAATAATAAAGTGCGTTGAGAAAATTTTAATTTAAGAGAGAGATGCTTACATGTTAACGACATGGCAAATGGTGTTATTGGAGAAGGAGCAATCACAGGTAACATTATTATCGTAATATTTGGAGTTTTCTATCTCAAACCAACTAGGCTCTCGACTGCATGGATCAACATCAAAGTTCCAATTTCTCTTCCCTAGCTTCTTGCTTATACTTTTCAAAGCTTCCACTGTACACATAATGTAAACACAGTTATAAATAACCAAAAAAAGAAAAATTCAAATGGATGAAAACAAAAATAATGAAGCCAAGTTCTGTCTTCTTAAATATGTACCTTCATCATTGGGAAGAGTAGCTGCTCCAAATGCAAAAGTTGTGATGCAACAGGCAATGAATATTGAAGCAAAAACAAGTCGAGGAAACAACATCTTGGACTGTCGTACGTTGAAGAGGAATTCACCAGCTTCTTGCTTGATTATAGCAGATAAAAAGGAACAAGGAAAAGATGAAGAAAGCTGGATTATGTATAGGAAATAAACACTTTTTAAGACAATACTAGTCAATGCTATTATTATTATTATTATTTGGATGTCTATATGACTTTTAAACGAAACTTATGTTTGTGATCATTGTAGCAAGTTGTGTAAAAATCCTGCGTGAGATTTAATGACATAAGGTCCCATTATAGATGACGATGGAAACAGAATGATATAGTCCTTTCGTTTAATGTTTTGCAACCTTAGAATCGTGATCATAGTAGCAAGTTGAATAAAAATCCAGCGTGAAATTTAATGACGTAAGGTCCCATAGATAACGATGGAAACAGAATGATAACTGTCCTTCATTTAACGTTCACATATAGTTGTCAGTGAAGTGTAAAAACTTATAAAATATTAATTTGTTATGTTTTTACATATATTTTTAAATTAAAATTAAATAAAAATTAATTATTAAAAATAAAATATATTTACTTCGAGTCATATCTAGACTTGAAAAATCATGTCGAAAATAATGGAATAACAATGCTAAAATATCTCCTCTAAATTACAGTAGTGATTTAGAAAAAGATATATTGAAATCTAAATTGATATAATATTAGATGTATATATGAATTTATATTTTATATATTATCAGTGTATAAATTTTATATATTATCAGTAAATTAAATGATACTATTTTATTAATGAATAAATATTAGCTCTTAAAATAAATATATAAAATAAATATTTTTTAAAAAATTTATTTATTAATAAAATAGTATCGTTTGTTCACTTTATTAATGAGATTGTATCATCCAATTCATTAACAATGTACAAAATTTATATGTTGACAATACATCAAATATAAATTATATATATATATATAATTCCGTTTGTTTAACATAGACATTTATAGTATGCCTTACTAACTACATTCATTTGGCGTGTAGTTTTAAGAAAAAATAATTTTAATATTTTTAATATCCTTGTTGGTTTCTTGTATATCAACTAGAGGTGTTCATGAGTTGAGTCCGACTGAATTCAAGTTAGAAATGCTTGATATTAATTGTTTATATATTTGTTCAGATCTAATCTATTTTGAAATTTTGGGTGTTAAAAATTTTTTTAAGTCAAGCCTAAATTATAAAAATAAATCTCAAACTCATCCATTAAATTTAACTTATATAATAAAAAATTAAAAAAAGTGATTAAATTAAGTTTAATGGGATTATATTCAATTTACATATATAAAAAAAATAAAAATAAAAATTAAGTTTAATAAAATATATATAATTTTTATTTTTAGTTTATATATATGTCGATTAACTTATATATAATTCATGTATATATAAAAATAAAAAATATATATATGTGAATTCAGGTTGGGTCAGTCTTAGATTTTAAATTTTTTGTTTAAGACATAGTCCGAAATTTAAACGGATCTAAAAATTGTATCTAAATCTGTTAAATGGGTTTTAATTTTTTTATCTAAACTCTCTCAAAACTTAAACGGATCTTCAAGTTTTGATAGATAACTTGATTCTTGAATATATCTAATATCAACATATACAAGAAAATTGAAAAATTCATATTAAATATAGAAAATTTAATAATTTTAGATGTTTAAAAGTAAGAAACTAAAAACCAAATTTTAGTGTGGTAAAAAATGCACATAAACATGCAAACAAAAGTTTAAAGAGAGAAAGTTTAGTAATTTGGCTCCAATCACTAGTTTTCACATGAGTTTATACTCAAATCATTAGAATTTTTAAATCCAATACTTGACTCAATAATTTATGTATATTCGTTTTTTATTCAAAAGCAAGATTTAAATTTCATTTCCCTGTAAAAGTAAGACTCAAATCTCTATTCCTTAAATTTTTTTTTTTTTAAATTCATTAGAACTTTGTAATTCAATTCGTTTTTGTGACATTGGTATACCTGGTGGAGTCATGTTATGGAGTGAGTTCCAATTGTGCAAAGACAAATATTTTTCTTGCAAATAACATGAGTTACATCAAAAATATTTTATTTAATTTATTTGCATATTTATAAAGCAAACTACTTCTTTAAGAATATTCAAGCTCCTGAACTCTACTAAAATATGGTCCAAGGACGGCTTCCAACTCTGCCACCTTCATTACCTTCGTTCGGCGTAACTGAGAATTACTTAGTTGGAGAAATCCCTGGCTCCTCAATTTGCAATATGAGCTCCCTGGAAGATCTCGACCTGTCTCAGAATAATTTTGATGGAATTATTCCTGAATGTCTTGGAAATTTAAGTCATTCTCTGTCAGTCATGGATCTATTTATGAATAATTTTCATGGTGTAATACCAGCTGGAATATTTCCTAAAGGCTGTTCGTTGAAAAGTTTCCGTATCGACAGCAACCAAGTTGAAGGGCCAATACCACAATCTTTGGTTAATTGCTTGGACTTAGAAATTCTTGATCTCGGGAACAATGACTTAAATGACACCTTTCCTAGCTGGTTAGGAAAATTGAAAGGATCTACATGTTCTTGTCTTGCGGTCCAATAGATTGTATGGTCACATTGTCAATCCTGAAGTAGTTGCATCTTCCTTCTCTAATATGCGGATCATTGACCTCTCTCAAAATGACTTCCATGGCAGCTTGCCAATCAAGATTTTTGAAAATTTGTATGCTATGATCAATGGGTCTGAAAGGAAAGGTGAATATATGGGATATCTGTATTCTGATGAATATCAAGTGTATTATGAGTGTTCTCTATTGCTTACAACAAAAGGGCTGGAGAGGCAGTTCCTGAAAATTTTAACCATTTTAATGGTTATTGATTTTTCAAATAATCGATTCGACGGGCAGATTCCTGAAATACTTGGACAACTTCATTCACTTGTTGTCCTAAACCTCTCTCACAATGGTTTAACAGGTCCAATCCCATCATCCTTTGGCAATTTGTCAATGCTCGAGTCATTAGATCTCTCATCAAACAAGCTTCAAGGAAGAATTCCGCAAGCGTTAAAAAATCTTGGATTCTTAGCGGTGTTAAACCTTTCTCAGAATAATCTTACGGGGCCCATTCCTGGAGGCAAACAGTTTGATACTTTCACAAATGATTCCTACAGTGGGAACTTGGATTTATATGGATTCCCTTTATCAAAAAGCTGCGGTAATAATGATCAGAAACAGCCTCCAACAAAAACTGATAGAGATGATGCACTCAATTGGAAATTTTCTATACTGATGGGGTATGGATGTGGCCTGGTGTTTGGATTGAGCACGGGATACATTGTATTCACAACTGGAAAACCATGGTGGTTCATTAAGATCATTGAGCTCTGTCAACAAAAATATTTTGGAAGGAAAATCCGGAGAAGTGGAGGAAGAAAATAATTCAGCTGATTAATGCTCTTAGTCTTAGGTGAGTTACAATAGTTCTAATAAAGTAACTGCTGTTTTTTTATTACCATACCTTTCTCTTTTCTTTTTTTTTTTGGCTATTAGATGGAAGGACTAAACCTCAAATTTTCTCTGACAAGTTTTAACAAATGTTTCCAGTTTGGTTGTGTGCCTCTTGCAATAAGGATACTCAGAAGGGAAGTTAATTTCTTCCACAAACAGTTTTTCAAGCCTGGTGGATTGTCATCACCAATTTCAGTTGTAGTATTCGTATCCTATTCATAAGATTTTGGTTATGGTATGTATTTTAGACTTCGATATATTGAACTATACGTGCTGTGTAGCATATATTCTCCAACATTTTCTTCAGCACTATATTAGCTTCAATATTAATGCTCAAATTTAGGATCTGTAACACAAGCCTTGGTCTGATGAATAACTTGGGCAGGTAACAAGGCAAAGATGAAACTCCTGTATGAAACTTTTATTAAAATGCATGGTGTTCTTCCAAATAGAAACAGGACCTAGATTAACATTGAAGCACGCCAAAAGTACCCCCCAGATATCAATATGATAAATCCCCTCTTTTTCTTCAGACTAATTCACAGACTTAGCCTGCAGGTAATTATTGCATTACATATGTTGAATATTTGATAGATGCTTAGTTCATTAATTGACATAATACAACAAATTTACTACCAGAATTAGTGGATAACAAATTTCAATGGGAACAACTTAACAGATATGCTTCCTATCGATGACCCCTTCTTTAGAATTTACTACCAGAATCAGTGAATAACCAAAAGATAAGCTATGTAGATCCGTCCTTGAGCCTATGAAACCCTCTAAACTTTCATTTTTATTTTTTAATTTAAGTCATGCCAATTTAAGGGATTTTGAATTGTGTAGAAACCTGTTTTGTCCGAGAAAAATTGCCTGTTATTTTGAAAAATTCAAATTTGATTCTTGATTTTATTCTGATTTGATTTCGGATTACTATCTGACTCAATTAAGTTTTAATTTTAATTTTATTTTTGGTTTTATTTTTATTTTTTTATTTTTTTATTTTCTTCTTTCCTTCTTGTCTTTTTCTTCTTCTCTCTGGTTTTTTTTTTTTTTTCCCAAAAGTTATGGTGCTTTAAATGTAACACCGAACTGCATATCTTGTCAGAAATGCATATCTTATCAGCAACCAACCAGGTCCAAGATTTCGGCCAATTGCCCCAAGCTATATCGCCGCACTGCCAGCCGCACCATCGCCCTGACCCCTCAAATTGGTTTAAAATTTCTTCTCAAATCCCATAAAATCTGAGATTTAGTTTTATTCTTGACTCTATAAATAAAGCCTTTCAAGCACAAAAATAAAGATTAATTAAAGGTAAAAAAAATTTTAAGTTATATCAAAAGTGTCGAAAACATATTAGAAAATTTTTAATATTTAAATAATAATAAAATAAAAAGTAAAAGATTGCTTAAACAAGATAATTCTAGGATCCTATAGAATTAATTGGTATCATCTTCAAACGACTGTTGTGGGAGTACTATAATCTTCTTCATGCATAACTTACTCTTAAACCAAACTTTAGTTTCATAGATCAAAAAATAGGATTAGTGGCTAATCACATCTAAACAACAAAGATTTGTGATAACTCTTTGATTTTTACATCTAGTGGTTTACTCTCCAAACCGATATGTTATGCTTGCAACTTGGTGACTTCGTTAAGGACTAATAGAGAGTCGAACCAAAACTAATTTTATGTAATCCTGGGTCGTAGTTGAATAGATTAATTTTCTTTATTCATTTATGTGATTGATTACTTTCTTACTTGTTTATTTGTTTAAAAGGTGTTCAAGAATCAGTTCCTCCATACATTGCATAAGCATATTATAACATGAGCTCTAGACCTTAGCTTCATCCTTCTTAGAAAGGCGTAGAGTTCTTATACTCTTGTGAAGTATTAACTTTCCCAATGACTAGCAAAATGCTTTTGCTCAAATTGATTCCTTTTAATTTGTAACCTATCATGGGTAAGGATTGGAATGCATTACTAATCCTACGTGGATGATAGTGAGGGACAATTTGAGAGCCTTTAGCTTGTTATCCTAACCTAGCATATAAATGACCTAGGAAGCCTATCTTTGGATAGAGCCATGACCACTTATTATTTAGAATTATCCTAAATACCAAAGGATATATGAAAAAATAGGCCATTGTTGTTCAAATTCCTTATTATTTATCTCATGCATCATCACAATTTCATATAGGAAGTTATTTTCCACATCAATTTTGACAAAACGAATCTTGGTTACATCCATGGAAAGTTTAGAGCAGTTTCAATCTACACCGATTTAACATAATGCTTTGAAAATCAGATCGGAGGAAACAAAAAGTAAAGAAGAATATTATTTTTTAGTAGATTATGTATCCATTCTTCATAAGAAAATTCATCTTAATTTGAAGCAAAACAACTTTTCCAATCTGGCTTTGATTTGAAAGTAATGGAATAGCAATATACGAGAAAATTTTCAAGAGCTATATGGAGAGTTAGCTTTACTTCTCTCGATAGAGGTGGATGAACAACTTATTAGAGAGATTATGTGATTTTGGGAGCCTTTATACAAATGTTTCGTGTTCAATAAGGTTGATATGGTGCCATAATTGAGAAGTATTCCATATTTCTTTGTCTACACCATTTATGTCCTAACAAAGTCTTTTTACAAAACAAGAGTATAGGACAAAGTCTTTTTACAAAACAAGAGTATAGGCTATCATAAAAAACTGGCCACAATGATGAAAATCAATATGGAAGACATTGATAAGCACGTTAAAGAAAAAGGTGAGAATGCATATATTCTTAAGGATTTCTTGTATTGGCATCTCATTAGACAATAGATGATAACTAGTGCATGACTCTATTTGCCATAGTTGCGTAAAAGATGGTAGATTTTCAAAAGGACTTGGATATATAGATGTAGCAGTGGTGATTTCTTAGAGCAAGTCGAGAACAACGTTAATCCAACTCCAATTATTTTGGCAAAAGCCATCAGATTTTTGAATTTTTGTTAAGATGATGAAAAATGTCATTTTATAAGGTGCATACAACTTTTGTATGTGTGGATGAAATGTCACTTTGAAACCAAACAAAGCAAATTTTGCAAGCCTTATCTCACTTTAACATCCACTTAAGGAATTTTGTTAGATCAAATGATCGAAATTAAAGTCTGAGAAATAGTGGATCTCTTATTTGTGAAACTTGACGAGTTAGTAAGTAGTATAGAGGGCATCCTAGATGCCATATGATTCATTATTTTATAGTCGTGGAGACAAACTGTGGGTTCCACTTTTAGGCCATTGGGGGTGCAATCATTATGCCCCACTTATGGTATTAAGACAATTTGGATATGAACAGTTTTTTCAATGATGCATGGACTTAATCAATTAGGCTTTGTATACGATGAACCATATTCCATAAAGATGGTATAAGAGATTGTCCAAGCATGGGAACAAACAAAAAGAATGGATCAAGGTAGGCATACCAACAAGATTAACCTAAAATATTTTGTATGGCATGCTAGGCGAGCTAAAGATATTATGGTTCTACATGAAGAGAGTACAACCAGCCTACCTAATCCAGTTTCTCCAAAGCCTCGGGATTTGTTGCTAGAAGTAGAAATTGCAAAGCAAAAGCTAAAAGATGAAAAAGAAGAATTTGAACATGAAAATAAAAAGTTAAAAAAAAAAAAAGTTCAGCAGCTCAGTCAAGATAAAAATGGACGAAATAGTTTATTCATTTATCTAAATAAGAAATATTCATCTACCAGTCCTAAATTAGCTCAACTTTTAAAAGAGAATGAACAAGGAAAATGCATTCTTGGAAGTTTAAAAGTATAATTAGATACTTAAAGAACTATTAATGAGGTTAGAGTTCAAGCTTATATTCTAGAGGAAGAGTGCCAATAATACCTTAACAGAGGAGAACAGTGGAAGAATGGATACATAGCAAAATAAGAACACTTAAAGCACTTGTTTGGAAAAATCAATATGTCTACACATAAGGCAGTAAAAATGGAAAACAAGATTAAAAAGCTAAAGATATGAGTACAACTAGTTGGCATGCACTGCCTGAATCTACTAAATTTTCTTAATGAGATGCAAGATTAGTATCAATAGATAAAGAATTTCCTTTAATAGGTAATAGACTTTGAGCTTTTGTAGATGTAACTTTGGATTAGTAATAATCACTATTTGTTATTAATTGACGTGTGGCAAGCATTCCTTAATGCATCTTTTTCATTTTTGTCCATTTTTCATTCATACACTTGTTTGAATAGGCATCAAAATATATATCCTAATTATTAACAATTGGGATAATAGAAGTTCAAGAATAGCTCCCCATAAAAAATTCTAACTTGGCTTACTCAACATTTATACAATACCAAGGCTTAAACAAGAATCAAAGAACAAAAATAGGTCAATCAATTTGAGAAAATTGGAAAGGCACAAGAAAAATAAAGATCTTAACAAGATAATGGACATACTCAAGAATTTAGATAAAGAAAGAGTGATAGAAAAAAGTCTTAACTAACAGGAGAAATTGCTAGACATAATGGGTCCTTTATACCCCCCAAGGTTTGAGCCTCATCAACCCTAAACTTCTTAAGGGGCCAAAATGCAAATCCCTATTCCCAGGGGATATCCATACATTTATCAAAGAATGACATCCACACCCATTCCGAGACAATTCCAAAATTTCTCTAATTAATCTTTGTACAAAAACCATTTTAGACAATCCTGATTCTAGATCTAGATGACCCTAAAGAGAAAGAAAAGCTATGAATGAATGTATCTGAGGTAGTGGAGAACACAAATGCCCAGCAAAAGATGAAATTAATAGAAAAAGACTTAGAGCTATAAAAAGAATGAATTTTTACAGCTCTATGGATGCAACTGAGCATTGTTTAGTTTTGGATATGGTCATCCCACTTAAATTTAA